TTTATTAGTTGCCAGAAGTTGTTGCTGAATACGAACAGAAAATAAAAAAAGGTGTAACGTATTATCATTCGATTGCTTATTTATAATTAATTTAAAAAGATATCTTACCATTGCTACTGAGTATTGATATAACTCAAGAATATAAAACAAAAAGATAAAAAGCAAGTGACACCTCAAAAGGTTTAACAATCTTTTTATTAAATAAACTATATAATAATATTATGATTAGTCATTTATAATTACTTTGAAAAGATTAAATTGGTAGCAGGTATAATAAATAACATGATTGGTACAAGTATAATAAATAACATGATTGGTAGCAGGTATAATAAATAACATGATTGGTAGCAGGTATAATAAATAACATGATTGGTAGCAGGTATAATAAATAACATGATTGGTAGCAGGTATAATAAATAACATGATTGGTAGCAGGTATAATAAATAACATGATTGGTAGCAGGTATAATAAATAACATGATTGGTAGCAGGTATAATAAATAACATGATTGGTAGCAGGTATAATAGATAACATGATTGGTAGCAGGTATAATAAATAACATGATTGGTAGCAGGTATAATAAATAACATGATTGGTAGCAGGTATAATAAATAACATGATTGGTAGCAGGTATAACAAATAACATGATTGGTAGCAGGTATAATAAATAACATGATTGGTAGCAGATCTTGCTGCTGTATAAGAACAGAAAATAAAATTATTATTATTTGTTTTTAATTTTTTTTTTTTACATTTTAACTTCCAACAAGGCTGCAAGCAACCACTGTAAGAGTTTAAGTTACAACCACTGTAAGTTACTGGAAAAGTTTGTAGAGCAAAATAACGATTGAAAACAACTTAAAATCACGAAAGCAAGATGTAGCAAGCAATTTCCAAAGAACTGATGTTTGATAAAATAAACTAGACGAATAAGAGTTTTTGAAGCAATGTTAAAAGAAATAGCCTTAACATTTTCACCTCTATCTAATGCACGATAAAATCTTTTGGTTATCACGTTTAGCAAATCAGCTGTAGAACGAAAACATCAAAATCCATAGTGATGATCAGAAAATAAGTTATAAGATTAAAGATGAGAGATTTAGTATTTGTTAATTAAAGATTCAAAAAGCTTGCTTATGATAGGAAGAAGACTAATGCCGCGGTATGAGTGGTATATAGATAAGTTAAATCGCTCTCCACAAATTTTGAAAATAGGGATATCAGATGCCGCAAAAAACAAGATTCTGATAAGCACTTGTTGAATAGTTTTAAAAGTATAGATGACAACTCTGGAAAACGTTTTGCAAGACCACAACAGGTATGTTGTCTGCATCACAAGCTGTAGAAGAGTCTAAACAGAAAATCACTTTTGATACAGAAGCTGGAGTGATACGAATGTCAAGCAATGGATTAACCTGTTTGTCGGTTATATCAGGTAAAACGCAATTAGTAGAGTCAAAAGATGATATTGATGAAAAGGTCTTAGCAAACAATTCAGCTTTGTTTTTAGGTGAGGAGACAAAGTCTGAAGCATACAATAGAGGTGGAATTACTGATTTGCCCTTATTATTGATATTGTTAAAGATTCTCCAGAAGTAACGAGAGCCTAACTTTTGTGAAAAAATACGAAATTTTACGACCTGAGAATAACGAGCTTTCGCGTTAGACAAAACCTTTTTACAATGTTTTCTAGCAAAATAAAACATACGTTTGTTTTATGGAGAACTGTTTTGCTTATAGCAGACGCGGATGCAGCATTTTTTGATGTTTGATATACCTAACTTCCAGACATGGAGCAAACTTTAAAAATTTATATGTTTATACCTATATCAAATAAGGATGCTTTACAAAAAATTGCAATGATTGGAGCCTGGGAACAAAAAAAACTATTCTTTTTTATACTATTCTTAACTAAATCTATATTCATCAATAAATTTTAAAATCCACACAATAATGTCTTAGCGTTCAAGAACTATGACCATAAAAAGTTTGAGACCCCCTCAATTTGAGGGGGTTGCGAATTTTAAAAGGCTATAATTGTTAAACGCTCAGAGATTGTTGTGTGAGTTTTAAAATTTATCGATGAATATAAACTTGGTTGATAATAGTAGAAAAAATATTTTATCAACTTGTTATTCTCACGTTTGGGGCAGGTGTAGCTAAAACTTTAGGGCTTTTTTGTTTCCAGGCTCCAATCATTGCAATTTTTTGCAAGACATCTTTATTTGGTATAAGTATAAAAATATAAATTTTTGGAGTTTGTTCCATGTCTGGAAGTTAGGTATCTTAAACATTAAAAAATGCTGCATCTGCGCCTGTATAGATATGGAAGTAATGGTTTCGATTGGAAATTGCAGCAGCACAATGTGAGAAAAACCATGAAGAAGAATGAGGCTTGACCTGAAATTTGCGAGAGAGAATAAAGGATTCCATTTTTCTCCATGAAGACAAAAGATTTCTACCCAAGGGCCATCACGAAGAAAGTTGCAGAAAGAGTCTGAGCCAGTTTTAAGGCAGTTGTAAGAGGTACGATGATAGGGGGATTCTGATGAAAAAGAAGAACGAGATAATAGTTTTAGAGAGATCAAACCGTAATCACAATTACTTAAGGGTGAATGTGAATTAACTGAGCACTGACTATGATCAGAAACAATACATAGGTCGAGTTGAGAAAGTAAAAAATTCGGGTTGTCTGGAAAGCGAGATGGAAAGTTGACTATTTGAGTAAGGGATTGAGAAAGGCTAAAATTGTGGGCTTTAACGACTATAGTCTCTGAAACTAGAGCTAGCTATTTAGTGTATTAAGCATTAAAGTCACTAACAACAAAGATTTCGGCTGATAGATAAAGAGAGAGGACTTGGTCAATTTGATCAGAAATAACATCAAAAAAATGCAGCTTTAAGATGAAGGAGCAATATAGAACATAGAGAAAGGCGATAGAGTGAAGCGGTGATAAAAAGAAGGCAGATAAAATAACAATTTAAGGGTTCAAACTTAGTTTCCTGATAAATGAGTGAATTCTCACAAATGTAAATGTCCGTGTTATGCATGTGACTATTGGAGTCTTTACAAATTAGAGGAAAATAACCATCAACACTAAGATCAGAAGATGAGACAGCTGAAATCAATTAGTCTCACAATGAGCAAGTAGGTCTGGTGAACTTTGTAAAAGATAAGACTAACAGAAGAAAAGTTACTTCAAAAACGACAAATATTAGTGAATGATAGTCTCAGAGAACTTGGTGATGACGATGGTTTTTTGTGTATTATAGTTTTTGGTACTTTAGTCATTTAAATTTTTTAAAGAACTCAACTCAAAGCATAGATAGTGCTCAGTACACTATTTAATAGTCTAAGCCATTGCCTCATTTCAAAGGGCTCTAACTATTGTCTCAATAATGCATACCAAAAGAACAGGAACTCTATCTATACGCAACATGGCACTGTTAGTACTCTGACATTTTTCAGCTAGATATCGAATTAGCCTCTCTGAGAGCTACCTCAGAATTCAGGAAACCTGACAACCAGCCAGCCTCAGAAGCATAAAACTGAGTTTTAGAGCTGTACCCTCATAGTCATTAAAGCAAAAGCAAAACCGATGCATTGAGTAAAGATGATTTTGCGTTCAACATCCTAAACTGGAAACAATGTATTAAAAAAATATCTGCGCCAGCCTAATAGGTGAAGAAAGGGTGTGAGGCTAGTTAACAGATAAAATATGTTTATCTAGAAGTTCAAGTTTTTGCCTAGGAGGCTTTCTACCAGACAGTAGCCGCATGCGTTTAACATTTTAACATGTGCCCAATATGAATATTTTTATCGAGGCACCATCTCTAGCAGGGGGTGTTTTAAGTCCGATTTGACTTCTCCTAACCTTTGCCTCAAAAAATTCTACAAGGCAGTAGGACATGAAGCAGGTTTTAATGGTTTAATCTTACCAGTAGCGGGATAACCTGACCTGACATATGTATAGCATTAAAACAATAGAACAACAGAAAAGAAAACTATTCTAAAATCAAAATTATGCTAATAAAAGTAAAAGTGAATTCAGCTATTAAATTAAAGCTTATAAACATCATCTTAAGAAATAACAAGTTTGCCTGTTAAAGTCAAAATAAACAATTTCTCAAAAAATATTCTAAGTAATGCATAAAGTTTATTTTATTTATTATTTAATTATTGTCATAATGCAGGATAAAAGTATGAAAATTATATCGATTATAATGATTAAATTATAAATTATAAAATATATAAAGTATTTTCCTATTTGTTGATAACTACGCAATTACCCTATGCATTGCCTGATTGTTTAGTTTATTTCCATTACGTTGTGCATTGTATTTAAGTGGTTATGCGTAATTTGCACTTATAAGAAACTATTTTTAATAGTTATGAATGAACGGATATTTTCAGCCATAATTGTATGTTAAAGAAATATCAGTCAACACAACTATACAATTTATTCATCTATTGCCATATAATTTACACAAATGCTATATGGGGAAACGCTCGCAACACCAAAATTAGATTTTTCTATTGGCATTAGAAACGCAAGTTGTATACTTAATTTTTCCAAGCTCAATTTTTTCAAGCTCAGCCCCATTTATTAAAAGAATTAAAGTTTTGAATAACTATGAACTAAATGTTTAAAATAGTTTATGTTATATATTTAAATGCAAAGAAAAAAAATCTTTAAGTATATTTATAAATCTTTATAATTTATAAAACAAAAAAATATATGATCTCTGTGTGTGTTAGTAAAATTTTGAGACGTTTCGCCAAAAAACAGTTTTTATTTCTTACCAAGGTAAATAGATTTTTCTTTAAATTCTTTAAATTAGTGAATAGACTATTCTTTCTTTAAACAGACAATAAAAAAAACTAATTCTTCAATATATAAATTTGTATTTCTATTTTAAGTATTTTAACTCTTTTAGTTTATTTAATTTAATATATAGAATATAAAAAATGTATGTACAATCTTTGTTTTATAAATAGATGAAAGTTGTGCAAAAATAAATTTAACAGTATCTCAAGTGTTGTTACAAGATTCAAACAGAACAAGTCCAGAGATCAACAGCATTGACGCTGATTTAATACAACAAGTAATGTTTTTGTTTATGATGAATAAATAAAATTATATTTAAAAAATAAAACTGTTTTCATTAGGTATACCAAAAAATTCCAAAACAGGTTTATGGAAGGCCGGGGCTAGTTGCAACAAAATTTAAAAAAATGCATTTAACCTCTTATAACTTTAACTTATTTTTTTTAATTTTTTATCTAGGTTATGTAATAGATCTTAATGCCGTATTAACCCAACATTGATAAATATAATATGAAACTTAGCTGTTCCGCAAACGTATAATAAAAATGAAAAATAAATCTTGCAACTTACCTCGCACCGGGGCCAGTCCAAGTCTAAAGAAAAATTACAAGTTAATCTATAACTTCAATTTGGCAACAAAAATTTTGTAATTGCATTAAAGGAATCTTTTATTTTCATTGAGCAGTAATAGTTTAATTATGCGAGATTTGACATACATCTGACTTGTTTAATTATGCGAGATTTGACATACATCTGACGTGTTTAGCAAACGGATAATTATGCGAGACTTCACATACATCTGACGTGTTTAGTAAACTGATAATTTTATTCGAAGACTTCAAAGACTGAAGAAATTAAATTAAAAAGATTTGAAAAAAAGTATTCTTGTAGTTAATAAACAATTACACTGGTTTACATGAAAAAAAACTGCAAGTAAAACATTATGAATTTCTGAGAGCTTAGTAAAAATCATAAATTTTGTTGACTTGCATCATCAGTTAATGTTTGAATACAAGTTTAATTAAATATTTATATATCTGTAGTTTGTGTGTTTCAGATTTTATTTTAAAAAAATGTTTCACAATGCCAAGACCTTGTGCGAATTCAGCAGACAGTCTTTGTTAACAGACAGCAGAAAATTTTTTTTTAATAAAGAAGTATTCTCATGCATACTTTGGGTGTAAACTGGGAGACCAGGACAAAGCATAGGCGCCTTATGTTGTTTGTAAACTTTGCAAAGTAACTCTTGGCAAGTGGTTTAAAGGTGAAAAGTCTGCCATTTGGCATGCCCATGATTTGGTGTGAGCCTTCGAATCATGTGATGGACTGCTATTTTTGCATGACGAATGATGTTGTATTCAACAAAAAGAGCAGACACAAGATTCTATAACCAAATATACCGTTAGCTCTAAGGCCTGTAGAACACTGTGAAGACATTCCTGTGCCCGCTCCTACTTTGCTGGATGACATTGAGAGTAATAACAGCTCAAGTTCTGAAGGCAGTAGTGATGTTCTTAATCCTGATTTTAATGCAGATGTCACACCAAAACCTTTTACTCAGGAAGATCTTGATGATCTAGTTTGATATCTTAACCTTCCAAAGTCATCAGCTGAACTGCTTGCATCCCGTTTACAAGAACGAAACCTTCTCACTCCTGATACTAGCGTAAGTGTGTACAGATATCGTGAGACAGAATTTGTACAGTTTTTTTCAAGTAAGCAAGAATTGTTACATTATAATAATATGGAAGCCCTTGTCTCATCTATGGGAATTGCTTACGATGCTAATCAGTAGAGATTGCTCATTGACTCATCAAAGCACAGTATGAAGGCAATCCTTTTCTTTAATGAAAACAAAGTATCATCACTACCAGTGACACACTCGGTAACACTAAAAGAAACGTATGAAAACATGAAATTATTACTCAGTTCGTTGATTTATGACCAGCAAAAGTTGTTGATATGTGAAGGTTTGAAGGTCATAGCTATCATATTAGGACCCCAAGAAAGATATTAAAAATTTCCATGTTTTTTGTGTCTCTGGAATAGCAGAGCAGACTCTGAGCATTATGCCAAAAAAGTGTGACCAGCGAAAGAAGGATAAACTCCATGAAGTCACAGTGTCAAGTTACAACATTTGGTAAAAGCACATTGAGTTCACCTCCCACTTCTCCATATAAAATTGGGGTTAATGAAAGCTTCAGTCAAGAACATGGACCAAATTGACTCTGGATTTCAACATTTGTCAGACAAGTTTCTACATTTAAGCGATATTGACTGCAGGTATCTTTGTTGGACCGTAGATCTGAGAAGTAATGAATGATAAGGTTTTTTTTATCTAAACTGCAAACCTGGAATGCCTTCGAAGATGTTGTCAACAATTACTCAGGAAACTTTAAATCAGACAATTTTTTTTTTTGTTATTTAGGTGCCCCAAAAAGACCTAACGGTTTTGTCACAGAGCACCGCGGAAGTGCATTTAACCAGGAAGTTCACGCCTCCTTCCTTACCGTGACACGAAGATAACCACTACGCCACAGCCGCAATTACAACAACAAAAGTCTTGTTTAAAACATGGTAACCAAATATCAGGCTTTGTATAGCTGGATAAGTGTCAAATTGCACTTTTTGGTCACCCACGTTGACTACTTTCCTGAAAATCTTGGTGCA